CATACAAATTGCACATTAATAACTTCTCTGGGTGTCTTAGGAAAAGCCTACTTCTGTTAAAAGCACTCCCACTTATAATCCCTTGTCTGTGCTAATTGCAATCAAATAACTGCTAGGAATTGGATTTCTCATTGTCTGGGAGGTATTTAAGTTGCAGTATGGAATGGAATTCAGTTCTGCCTAAAAAAATACACATGTAAGAAAATTAACTGTTTGGTAATAATAACAATTATACTCAGTATGCATCTCAGCTGAAAGTGAAGTCTTTGTTTTTCTTTCCCTCACATGACTTTCCTTTCAGTGAAAGCTGAATCCAACTCTGCTACATGGACATCAAAAGTTCTGCAATTGCATTCAGTGGAACATTTAAAGTTTTGTTGACTTCTTAGAGACAGAGCTTGCATCAATATGTATGGTGAGAAGATGCCTCAACAACAAATGGGAACTGAGTATTTTCATAGCTGCTTTTAAAGCAGTACCCTACTACCATTACTGTTGCAATGTCCAGTGTAAGAGCATTTTGTACTTAGTCTCCATAATCTAATTCTGTTTGGTGAGTAACATTTTGTATTCTGATATAACTGTTTGGTAAATTAGAAATCGAATATTCTATATTGAAGTGTTGCAAAGTAAAAATGTAGATAAAAGACATCTACTTAGGCTTCTGTGTGACATTTAAGTTGGGCCAATCTGTTTTATTCTGTCCATGACAGGGGTGAATACTAAAAGTGTCAGCATAAGGCACAAAAGTTTTCTCCAAATGTCTGATTATATAAAATCTTGCTCTCAAGACAGTTTGTCACTAACTTTGAAAAGGTTTACTTTCTTTCTGATATAGAAGAATTAAGAAGAGGTTAAGGCAGGATTTTAAAACTTGAACAATAACTCTTAAACTCAGAATTGTAATCACTTTTGATGTGAAGTTGAATCAAATCTACAAACTCCTTGAAATTTTACATTCTTATTTTGCATCTACATGTCTAATTTTATCACATTTAAACTGCATAGGGCAGAAAAATATATCCAACTATGTACTTCAAAGTTTTTCCTGATCCTCTGTTAAATGAAGAAAGCCCTTTCTGGTTCTCCTGTTATCCTGTATAACATTATCATTGCTCCTTTTATGTCTCCTCTGTAATCTAAACAATATTAACTTTTTTTATTTCGTCCTACACAGAAATCTTGCAATTTCTCTCTAGAAGAAACGGGCTGAATATTAGAACTGTTCATCTCTTTGAACATCTGACTTTATACTTCATAATGCCTTCAAAGGTCAGACACTCTCCTGACAGTGCCAAATCCCATTAGGTAAAAACGATCAAGATTGTATACCATCACCTTATTTGATAATGCATGCATTGTGACACTTCTTGAATCTGTGTCAGACAATCCCAAATCTCACAGTTTTAACATAAAAATCAAGATATGCAGACATATGGGTAGAGGGGTACAGAACACTAAATGGAAACTCATGTAGGTGAAACCTAAACTGTTTTAAAGCCAAGTGAGCTCCTTTTGGTTTAGCCTTGTGAAACTTGTTTGTAAAGAACATGCCAAAGATGACAGAAATCCTTTACAGCTAAAATTTCTAACAGTTTATTTCCAAGGACACACAGTGGGCCAAATTCTTCAACTGAGCTAAGGAAGGCATTAAATAAATCAGTTAGCTGGTGAAAAAAGGAATTTAAGAACAAATGTTCAGAAAAACAATGCAAGAAAATATCTGACTGGTGCTTGTAAAGTCATCAATGCTTCAAGCTTTGTGCAGTTTCCAGGGTATCTACAGTTGTGTTATTGGACTTGTTGAACCTGTAGAGCCTCTTCAGTAGGATTTTTTCTGGCTGAACTACCTGGTTTGGTACCTTTCTTTGCCTGATTCTTTCAACCTGATAAGTAAGGTCACTTGGTTGAGATTAGAGAGTCTCTGGATTATTTCTGTTTTCTCACTGATATTGTCCAAGGTAAAATATGCTATTAACTGTGTGAAAATACGGCATCTCAAATTGCTCATGCAGACTCTAGCTTTAGGATTTAATTTTTCAAGTGCCTATCTGAACAATGAGGTGAGTAGACCATGCAAGAAACTTCAACAGAAACCAGCTTTTGACATTTCCTATGGGCATGGCTAGGTGGTATAGAGCACTGGCATCCTGAATCCCTAACTGCCTCTTACGCAGTTTAAGGGGAACTTCAGCATCTGACTGCACTGACTAGTGGTTGGGCACAACATTTCTGGCTGATACCCGAGTGCTCCCTTCAGTGGATTCTGGCCTTGGTGTGAGCACAAAGAACTGCAAAGAACTGGTCTTTACCAGTCTTCCTTTGTACACTTGAGTCACTATAGTAAAATGTGCTGAAAAAAGGCACTAGAGTGATCAAGTGGGTAGAAGAAAAAGAAATGAGAGCATGGTTCCTCACTTACTGAAACCCTTACTACCTTACCTTTTCAGGCTACTTGAACAATTTTTTATTCTCTTCAGGAGAATATTTATTTCAATTTACAACTGTTACTTCCATTTTGATGTTTTCTGCCTATTTGCACTGCTCTATACTCCTTTGTATTGCCTTCCTAATGTATTTAATTTCTTCAAGATATTTAAGATATTAATTCATTTGGAAACCTTTTTCTAATTATTCTATCATGTTACAACACTTTGACTAAGAGACAGCATAATGTAGGTACACGAGATTTTGAGGAAATTATTTTGGAAGAGCTAGAAATTCTGCATGCAACAAAAGTGTTCTTTCAATGTAAGGGAAAGTACATATTGGTTTTGATACTTTCTTTTTCTTTTGCCATTCTTTTCCTATATTGCTCTCTCATTGCTTTCATGGCTGTTATTATAATTTCATCCACTTGCACTAGCATTGTACTAGCCACTAACTTAATCCCTAATAGGAAACCCATCTATCTACATTAATTAATTCACCTATAGAATAATGTAAAAGATGCTTCCATTTGCACATCTGTTCTTCTCTCACGTAATGACGGAGAAGCTGGCAGCTCGGTGTTCATAATGTGATCCCTTTCCTAGCATATCTGTCCTGTTACTGGGCACATCTATGAGGCAGATTTATTAACCTACTCACCCGTCAAGCAGCACCAGTAAAGTTCATTCATCATAAATATAAAGCATTCAGTGTAGCTACTGTTTGCAAGTTTTGATCTTGTTGCCTTTTACCTTTTGCCAAAACATTATATCACTGCAGTTTTGCATCACAAGTGTCTTTCAGCTCTATGGGCTGTGCAGACTACTAGAAATGACCATCCTAGTTTACATGCAAAGATGGCAAGGTACAAGGAGGGGAGTCTGTTCCTTGGAGATACAGCTTGCTTTTAACAGCACAGCATGCTTTCCTGTCACTCCTCCACTTCATAGGTCAAAAGCTGCATTAATGTGCACCACAATGAACTATTTGAAGCTAAATGGATTCATTCAGGTGTAGAGCAGAATTTGACTCAGTTCTCTTGTGTGAATTCTCCTACTGTATGGAAAAGAGACCCAGGCAGACATTAAGATTTACTGCCAATAATTTTAGAGATAATTTTGAAAGTTTGGCCCATGTATTACATTTATAAATGTCAAATCACAAAAATCAAAAGTATTAGCTCCTTGTTATGAATATTTTAAAGAAATTAAGTAATCAAACTATTTTATACTGTTCCTAATGCTAACTTAATTAAGTCTTAAAAGAATTTAACAAGCTTAACCAATCCCTCTGGAGCCCCAAACCAGATGGTTAAGCAAAAAATATTCATGCAAATAGAGAGTGATGGAATACTTGAGGCTTCACTTAGAGAAAACTTACAGAGTGTCATCTAAGGCTGGGATAAACAGGACATCCCTTTTCTCTCACTGAAGATGTCAGATGTTAAAAGAATTTTTTTTTTTACAAGTTGTTAAGTGATTTTGCTCCTTTGTTCTTGTGCAAGCACTATTGGGTTTTGAGAAGTTGCTGGATCAGTCGCACTGGTAAGCAACGTAAGCAGTCTCTATATTTCCTATGAAGTAAGCATGAAAGTGGACAGTCACAATAATATCAGTGGCCCAGCAGCTGAACAAATCATATGACTGCTTAATTTCGCTCCCTTAGTAACATGAATTACTCAAAAATTACTCCAATTGCCTACACTAGCTTTCAAAATGCAGATTAAGGCAAACTATATAAAAAGATCTCTCAAACAAATGAAAATAAAAGAGAGAGGGTATGAAAACAACAGACAGTATTCACAGAAAGCCACTCAAAGGCATTGTGTTAAAAAAGAAGTGAGTCTTAGGAGACAAGAAACTGTGGCGAGAACAGGAATATTGCACGTAAACTACAAATGAAGAAGATTTATAATGTATGTTTGCAAAACCATACGTCACTAAAAGTAGCTTAACATAATGCTGTGGTTTTCATCTAACAAGGAACATACCTGGATAAAAAGCATTAAATCCAACATATGAATAAGGACACCATCTCTGTTCCCAATTCTGCATGTCCATCAAGAAGCAACAATAACTAGATTACAGTGTCAACTTAATGCTACACCGAAATTTAAATCAGGGAACTTTTCTGATATGAAAATAGAATACACAGTCATTGAAACATTTATTTTTGGTGTAGCATGGGCTTGGCTTGTAGTTCTTGTCAGCATTTTTAATTATAGATGTGTTTTACTGTTATCATTCCACTTTTAGAGAGTTAAGAGTTGGAAAGAGCCTTAAAGATCATCTAGTGCCAACCCCCCACCTCCAGGGACACCTTCCACTAGATCAGGTTGCTCAAGGCCTTATCCAGCCTGGGCTTGAACACTGCCAGAGTTGGAGTATCCACAACCTCCCTGGGCAACCTGTGCCAGTGTCTCACCACCTTCATAGTAAAGAATTTCTTCCTAATATCCAGCCTAAATTTCCCCTCTTTCAGTCTGTACCCCTTACTCCTTGTCCTATCATTACAGTTCCTGATGAAAAGTCCCTCTCCAGTCTTCCTGTAGGCCCCCTTCAGATACTGGAAGGTTGCTATGAGGTCTCCATGCAATCTTCTCTTCTCCAGGCTGAACAGTCCCAAATTTCTCAATCTGTCTTGGTAAGGGAGGTGCTCCAGTTCTCTTATAAACTTTGTGGCCCTTCTCTGGACTTGCTTCAACAGTTCCATGTCCTTTTTATGTTGGGGGCACCAAAACTATTTGCAATATTTCAGGTGGGGTCTCACAAGCAGAGTGGAGGGGGAGAATCCTCTCCTTCGACCTCCTGGCCACGGTCCTTTTGATGCACTCCAGGATTTGTTTGGCTTTCTGGGCTGTGAGCACACACTGCTGGCTCATGTTGAGTTTTTCATCAACCATCATACCCCAAGATTTTCTCTGCAGGGCTGCTCTCAATCACTTCTAAGTGTGTTTGGGGATTGCTGTAACCCAGGTGTAGGACCTTGCACTTTGCTCTGTTAAACTTCATGAAGTTTGTATTGGTCCATCTCTCAAGCATGTCAAGGTCCTTCTGGATGGCACCCCTTCCCTCCAGTGTGTTGACTGCACCACAGTTTTCCTTTTTGGTTTTTTTATCTATCACAGTGAGCCAAACCTATTCCAAAGGTTTTTGGCTTTGCTTTTGAAAGTAGGAAGAAAATCCTCCCTCCTCTGATGTCCACAATTACCTTTACCTCATTCTTCAAGTGCATAATAAAGAAAATATAGGCAAAGCAAATATTCAGTGTTCAAGAACAAGCTAATTGGGTTCTTTTCATAATTGGTAGTTTATTGCAGATTTGTGTTCAAAACCGTTCCCACTGAACACCCTCAGTTGTGGAAAAGAGACACAGTGCTTTTATATTACATGCTTTTCTTAGCTGTCAAGCCTAAATAAAGAATCCCTTATTTTTATTTAGAAAAGACCTTCACAATATCTTCAGCAACAAGGAATAGGCTTTTACAGGTTAATGATTGAATTGGTGCTGTGTCAGTATTACTGTCCCATTCAGAGAGAGTGCAAGAACCTCCCAGGCTTTATGTTCATCCCTTCTATCAGAGCATCCCATTTTGGAGTATTACTTGGAGCTAAAGCTTTTTTTGGGCAGTAGCCTACACCTCACTGGATCTTTCCCCAGTCTTTCTTTTTTAGGTCACTTAGGCTGTATTTCAGGAGCAGGAGCAGAGCAATTTCTTTGTTCCTGTTCTCAAATTGCATGTCTCAGAGTACTATAAAAATATTTTTCTGGTTCTATTTAAAGACTAGGCACACTGGTCTTCAGTAAAATTCCCTGTCAATGATACTGAAGAAGAAGAGAAACAACCATCAGCTTGTATACTTATTCTGTTAGGTATATTAATGTCTACAAATAGTCAGATACAGATTACTTTTGCCACAAAAGCTAATTTGTGCTGCTGGCTAATTTATCCTTGGATATTTCCCAAGTATAGTAGATGTAAAGGCTAAGTAAAAAAAAATCTATGTTGTTCACAAATGTAATTTTTCTTCATGAAGCTGACAAAGAAAACTGCTGAAGCCTGGAACCCAACTCATGCTATTTAGCGTATTCCATGTGTCTAGAAGAAGTTCATCGATCTCTAGATACAAAAAGAATTTAAGATTAAAACTAAGAAATTATCGAACCCAAGAGTGTTTTCCCTCCAGTTGCTCATCTCTGCACTCTAAACATCTTGGCATTATGTTAATTTTTATGAATTTATCTTCACGAGCCGATAATATTTTCCTAAATTCCATTTAGATGCTTCATTGTGGTGGTTTGATCCCCACAAAAATCCAGTTTCCAAGCTTCCCCCACCTCCCTCGTAATTTACCTCAACACCAAAGAGAGACTTTCAGGCAAGCACACCTCTGTAGGGGGAAGGGAAAATATATACATTTATTCCTATACAAATAAATACTGTACAAGCTAAAAGCAATTATATATATATAATATTACACACTTCTATCATCTCTCTGAGCCCCTCCCATAATTCAGTCCAGGAGAAGCCATCAGGTTGATAGGTAAACAGTCTTTCTCTCATTGGGGTGTTCCAGGGAAAAGGGTTTCCTCTGATCCACCCCTCCACCATCCTCCAGCTTTTTTTACTGAAGTCTTTTCTTCCTCATGAAGTCCAAGAAGATAGTTTGAGTCTGTGCTCCTTGGTTCCACGCCAATCTCTGCTGTGTGACTCTCTGTCTCTCTCTCTCTCTCTCTCTCTCTGTTCTGTAGCTGCTGTAGTTTTCTATTTCAGTAGCCATGTCTCCCATAGCTCCCCCAAACCTGCCTTTGGTCTGTCTTCAATTTCGCCTGGGGTTTTTTTCCCCTGGCACTGACCTGCTTTCGTTAACAGCCTGTCTCCTTTGGCTCAGCTTCAAAATACTAAGCCTCACATCCACTCCCACTTACAGTGAGAGGAAAAGCCCCTGCTCAGCTGTTTGCTACAAGTGTTCGGTCCAGTTACGAACTGTCCCGAGCTCTGCAGTCTGGCTGGAAAGGGGGGGGGAAGAGGGCCTGGTCTCCTCTCAAGGAGCTTGCCTCTCTCCCTCCCTCTTACCTCCAGCTGTTGTGAGTCTCTTCCCTCACAACAGACACTCATTCTTACATCCTACCTTCAGCCCTAGCTTGGCCAGAGCTGTGGGGGCACAGGCCCTTCCCCCCCCGAGTAGGGGGGGCCTCCGTCCACCCCTCGGCTACTCTCTCTCACACACTCACTCAGACACAGCAGCAGACTGACTCTGCCAACTCTGCCAACTCACTTCTGGCGGTTGTGATATCTAATTCCACAGGAGCGAAAAAAAAGAACAGCTGCTATTGGTCCTCCTGGCTGGAATCTCAACTGGAACTAACCATTTCTAACTCAGGGACCCCTGGGGGGGTGGGGGGGTGGAACCAAGACATTCATGGACAGAACTTGTTGCTTTGCAAAATATATCAGTTTTGGGCATCTTTGTTAGATGTAGCTGTGCAACAAGAGAAACTATCCAGCCTGCAGTTTACTTATTAGGAGAAAACATGTACAGATTTCAATTAGAGATCATGGGGAAAACACATTATTAAATAGAAAATTCTTTTTAACAGCCTTTGTTACAAATAGAATTTAACCAAGGTGAACTTAACTATCAAAGAAGTATTTATGCTTGTGTATAAAGTCAACATCTTGAGTAGCTAGAATACGTTTTTCAGATTCAATGGATTTTAATGGAGAAACAGTTGCCTTCTCAGATATGTTACATAAATAAATTAAAGACTTCAGAAAGTGGGAGCTGTGTTTTCATCCATGATGAAAAAAAGACAAAGTCGGTCCCATTTAGGTATGATTACTTGATAAGATACAGTTTGACAATGGTTTCCAACAATATTATCCCCAAATCCAGACTCTTCTTAAAATCTTAGGTCTGTACACCTTTGTGTGGATCTCTGTCAGCCCATTATTCCCATCCACAGAAGTATCTTTTTGTCTTGTTTATGTGTGCCACAAACCCAGCTTTTGTTGGCCATCTCCAGATATCACAAGACCATCATTTGGTGAAGATGTGGAGAAGCAGCAGGGCAGAGGATGGTGTGAATCTGATCTCTGCTGTGTACAAGTTTATAGGAAAATCTCTCTGTGTGACTGTAGTTCTTTCAGATATGGTCTTCATTTCAGTTTTCACAGAATCTCTATTCTATTGCATGCTTTATTTTAGTTTGATGAGCACTGTTTTGTCTGTTCTCTGGCCTCTGTATCTCAAGTACTAAAACTGAAAAAATCCCAGTGATTATGAAAGACATTTTCCTGATCAAAGCATAATCTTTCTGCCCCTAGATATTGCGTTCACAAGAAAGACCCACGTATTAACCTTTTCTTTATGGACTCATTAGTTCAACCTTACAGCTATGGATCACAAGAACATAAAGGCAACAGCCTTTCACTACTCTCTCCAGCAGCACCTTATGAAAGAGATTTTATATATTCTCACACATAATACCAGGGGATTGTTAGAAATTTTCTAGTCCTATAACTCACCCAAGAATGAAAATGAGCTTCAGGAATAAAGTGAGGATGAAAGGATACTGCAATGCCTTGGCTCTTTGGCAAGACAATACCGACTGCACAAATTTTTCAGAATATCAGCTCAAATAACTTCGCCCAAAGAGCAAAACTGGCAAAGCTGCAGATGACACACTTGAAGCCGGAAACTGTACACAGGATTAGACACAATCCTGTGGCCTCTTCTTTATTGATGCAGTTCACTTAACATTCATCTGAAAAGGTCACAGTAAGGATCTCAAAATCTGGCCTCAATAGAGTTGGTGAAAAAGAGAAGGAAACTAATGCATCTTGCTGCTGAATCTTGTAGTAGGAAGAACATATGCAGTTTAGTAAGATGAGATTTTGAAGTGAAACTCGAAGAAGATCAAAATACTGCCATCCCACAGTGACGAATAAGTATTTGTGCGAAGCAGAAGGACTGTGTATATTGCTTGGATATATATCAGTGTGCATGCTTGGTAAGAAGAAAAGAAGATAGAATAGGGTCACAAAGGTGCACTGACATAAATGTAAAGGCACACATCTAGACTCTGAAGTAAGCCTGGATCTTGAGCCAATTTTCACAGTTAGCCATGTCTGATCCACATCATTTAATCTCAGGTGATTCAGAGGAGCTTTAGACCTCTTTTGGAAGGATTTCTAACAAACAGATGTAAGTTTATTATGACCCAGGTAACAAGCTGATGGTTTATCTTGGATCTTTCTGAGCAATATCTTCAGGAGTCTGGGCACCAGCAAGGTGACTGGTAACCTGTAGGACCTCTGAGCACCGTGTAGGTTTTCAGCAAGACTTTGCAGTCTCAATCTAGTCAGAATATCCTAGAGGTGTAAAGCAGCCCCACTCCAGTGTCTGATATGTCTCCTCTTTAATAGTAGTTGAGGGAGAGAGACAGAAGAAGAACCCTCAAATCTCAGTGCTGTTATCCATGAATGACTAAAGAATTACCGATGTTGAACCTTTTCAATAGAGATGTTTGCAATGCATTACAATAACTCACTTAGCAATCACTGATAGTTCTGACCTAACAAAATTTATGTTCTATACATGAAATAATGAGAATTGGAACCCAATTGTTGATTCCAATGATGAGAACATGATTTAGACCTTGGCAGTAAAATAGTTAAATTACACTTCAGAAATCAAGATATAGTTGCCTTCTTCCTTTAAAAATTTGAAAAGTAGCCTCAAGCTGGGTGTAACAAAGTAGTTACGCATAGAAAAAACAGCACATCCCTGCAACACAATGTCAGCCAATATTGTGTTGTTTGGTGGAAGGATGTGAGGACTGACTGTGCTGTGGTGTGTCAGGAGGCATCAACATTTATTTAAACTGTTCAGAACACACAGGATAACTTTCAATGATTGTTAATAGGATGTGGAGTTCTTTCGTTGTTCTCCACCTCTAAGTGCTCTCTCCTACATTACTTCAATATAAAAATGACAAATGAGAATTTGAACATTTTCAAGTATAAAAACCTCAGTGAAAGTCATCTATTTCTAAAGATTTTCAAAATTTTGGGGAGGAAGTTTGTTTTTATACCAGACTGACTTTTCTGTTGAAATTATGTCCTTTTCTCTATATTCTCTGTCAGTGCTTATTCTGTCTGCTGCAATCACTGTCTTCTGTTATGGGCTATCAGACTGCTGCACTTGTGTGGCCAAAAGTCCTTGCTTACAAAGAGAAGCTAGGCTGTGTTTTACTTTGCTAATAAATGAGAAATTTATCTACTACAGGGGATGTCTTGGCAAAGGCCATACTGGTGTTAAGGTGAAGCATTCTGCATTTACTCCCCTTGTATGTCTTCAAGGTCAAGACTGCTGAATCTGAGTCTGGAGTAACCAGATGTTGCTCTCTCTGGTTGTTACTACAGTCTCTCGAGTCCCCTTTCTCTCTAGTTCATCCACACCTTTAGTAAACATTAGCCTGTCTTAATTTTTAGATATACTGTTTCTCCTTTTTATGTTACTGCCATTCTTTCTCTGCAACTATTTAGGCTAATTTCATTGAAAGAGTGATCATCTAGACAGTTTTCAGATGGTATAATAGGTGTCTTTTACCAATAATTATAAAAAGCAGGTATCTCTCACTTGGTATGGCTGCAACAGAGAATTGGTGAATATAAACCTAAGAAATACACATTTTGAAACTAGACTCTGATAGCCAGAAATTTTAAAAATTGTTAGAATTTTTACATTTGTTCTTGAGATCTAGCTGTGTGGAAACACATTGGGCTCACAAAAATACAGTGATCCAGATCTAGGTTTTCAAAGTTCAAGCTTGACTTTAAAATGTGCAAAGGAAAGTTTGCAGAACAGAATAATCACAGTGCAATATGATATATCAATTAACTCCCATTACAGGACAGGCAGATAGCTGGTATGGTGCTGTTTGTTATGTGTGAACAGTGTGCTTGCTATCCTGTGGAGCACAGATGTGCATTATCCCTGTCCTTGAGAGCTTACAGTGAAACAAAATAAAATGAGAAAACCATATGTAAAATATTTATACTATGAGAGTTATTTAAGATGTCATTTGGGGGGAGGGAACAAGGAAAACCTGGCGTGCTAGATTTACACTGCATTTTACAAATTTGCTTTTTTAAAAATTTATTTTGGAAGATACAGTGCTGTGTGTCTGTCTCATTCAGAAATCCTACTGAGATATAACTGAAACAGTGATAAGTCATATTCACCTCCTGTCTTGATGCTTGGAAAAATCTGCACACACATTAGCAATAGAAAATTATTCTCTGAGAACCACTCTTGATGTTTTACTTTTGAATGTGCACTATGTAATGAAAGATCTGCCAACAGAAACCTCCTGTCCTTCTGTAAAATGAAAAATAAAGTTAATTGATGGTACACAGTCACCAACTTAGCATATTATATGGCATAGCATTTTGTGGATAGTAATTATCTATGAAGAAAAAGATTTTTTCAGAAACAACAAAGATTGATATTAAATACAAGCTATAAGATATCATTGAATATTCATGGTTTTCAGTAAAATATATTTGAATGAGTAAGATACTTGTAATTGTCCTACCTGAAGGGTTTGATTCCAACTCTAAAATGTAATTCAGACCCAGGGGAAGATAGGTATTATTTCTTTCTGTGAAAGTGAAAGAAATATGAAACTTGATAGCAGTACAATGTAAAAAGCTGTCCTAATAAAAGCTTCTAAAGGGATATTTTGAGTTAGCGTAGCCCTGACATGGTCAGTCCTAGTCCAGTCAGGTCCATGTTAATCTTCGGTGAAGCCTGCACAACCCCTGCTTTAAGTAGCTGCATTCAGGTCAGGGATGATTTGCTGTCTGTTAGGCAGACAAAGGTCTACATTTTCAGTCTATGTGGTACAAATACCTTCTGTAAATGTTTAACATATGATGCCTTAAACCCATAATGATTTTCTTATTTTTCTACCTTATAAGTTTTATAGGTAATAGAAGTAGATTTTAGAAACCCTTTCTCCCTCCTCCCCATAGTACCCTTTAGTTTATACATTCCATACTCCCTATATCACCCTACCCCCATATCCAGTAGATGATGTTTAGTCTCTTGTCAAGGCAACCCTGTCTTGTTTGGAGAACGCTTGTATCTTGGCCTAAACCGCAGGACAGAGTCAAAGAACTGGGTCACCCTGCTCTCTGTACGCTGAAGATGATGAAGATGATGAACAGGGGGTCCCAAGAAGCACCCCAGACCCAATTCCGAGAGGCGGGCCAGGGGGTGGACCAGGCCAAAAGTTAGAGGATGGACACACTTGGGATTAGCCAGATATTGCTATAAATGTAACATCTTGGGCACAGCCCGGGCGCGCGTCGTAACATCTATTGCCTTGGCATAATTAAACCCTTTCTTATCTCACCCCAGCTTACGGCTCCTGAATTTTTTTCGTAGCACCAGCTGAGCAGGCATCACATAAACTTTACAAAAAAAAAAGAAAAAGAAATTTTTTTGAGTGAAGTTAAGATCAAGACTAAAGACTCTAGGTTGAGGCAAGAGATAGAAAAAGCCAGCAGAAAAAATCACACATGACTAATCAGTGACTGAAAGTGTGTTGCTAAGATTGAACCCCTTGCTTACCTTCCTGCTAGTCTGAATCTTCATGCACTGTTGGAAAACAAATCATGTCTATCTCCCCCGTGTCAGTTTACGATACCCTACAAGTCTTTAGAAATTGTGTTGAAAGTAATGGTATACTAACAAGCAAATGTATTATGCATCTTCAAGCATTAATGCTTAATTAAAAAGAAAATAAATATATAATAATTATTCTATGCAATTTTCCAGTGACTTAAAATTAGGGTGTGTTATTATTGCTAAGGAGATTTACTAGACATTGAGTGCTTGAGGTTTTATGATAAGGAGATTTTCACATCAATTAAAAACCACTTAGTTTTTATGGATTTAAAATTCTTATATATTCTTATGTATACATGAACACATCCATATACGTATACACCATTGCTGAAATGAACTTAAGAAGTCATCTTTGTTGTAATGTCTCTCTCGAAAATCCCATTTTAGATCACACAGCTCTATGAAATACCTGTTTCAGTTTTTTCAGGAGGTCAAATTGTGCCCATATGAATAGTGTTGTCCCCCACCACAAAGAAATCAGCTAGTGGATTTCCCTGCATGCTGTAATTTCTGAATTGCTCTGTGAGAGTGGTTTTAATCAGAATTCACTACAAGTATTATATAAGAGAAAAATAGGATGGAAAAAAGTATTGAACAAAAGAGATTATACCTAAAATAGTTAATGGATGCTAGTAATTTTTTTTTCCAGCTAGAAATAGTCACATTTATAAAATGAATGAAAGCAAAAAACGATCTTTCAGACTTATCAGAAGGAGCAATTAAGCTTCTTTATTTAGTAAAGGTGGTGGGAAAGATGTGGAGAGGAAAGGGCCTGAGGTATTTGGTGATATGACAAATAAGACCTAAATAATGCAGCGTTTTCTCAGCTGTAAATGCAGGTGTTTGCAGAAATGGTGCAGTTGTTCATCCTTTTGGATGTACAATTCCCTTTAGTGACATATCTCAATAAAGATTCTTTTATCAGCTGTTTATCTCTAACAGGGACAGAGAAGCAGGGCTTTCAATACATTTCCACATCCTGTCCTCCACTCTTAATCAAGGATATTTAAGAATAGAATAAATCCAACTTTATAGCTTGTCTACAGTCCAATAAGGAAAATCTTCCAAAGGCAAGAAACTTTTGTTTAAATTATTTCCAACATGACAGTGGCTATCTCTCTATCACCTTGTTCAGCCTATGTAAACCAGCATGCAATAAAAAATAAGTTCTCCACATACGTGAAGGAGATTTTAGTGCATGTGTGCATACTCTGCAGAAGATTTGATAATGTGCACGGAAATATAAGTGAGGAAGAATTTATTCCCATCTTCACTCCTGCTTTCAAACACTGTTCTCTTTTCCATCTCTGTCAGAGACATACAGTATTGCCTACTGGCAACTTTCCTAGCTCTTACCTTTAATTACCACCTGCCATTAAGAAAAAATTAAAATTAAAAAAAAATCCCAAAATAAAAAAAAACAACCGAACAAACAAAAAACCCAACTCCACAAGGACTGAGGAAGCATTGTATTGTCACAGTTGTATAGAAAACCTTGAAAACAGAACTAAAGGTAACACTGGATGTTACCATTCACATGGTAAAACTACTTGATGTCTGAAAATAACTGGTTTGAGT